CTCTCTCTCTCTCTCTCCTCTTCTCTTCTCTCCTCTTATCTCTCAATCGTTTAAGCATTTCATGAATTGCTGTCGCTTTTCGTGATCTTTTAAAATTTGAATATTTTTGACTCCTTTTAAGTGAATGTCTATTAATAATAACAATTGAGTCGTAACTGAAATGACTTTAATGGCTGAGAGTTAAAAAATACCATATATGAAATATCAAATAAAATGATAAAATGATAATGGTTAATTTGATAGATACACCAATTGTCACACATATACGGCCCGATTCCTGTTTGGATACTCTTCCTACAGGTATTGAAACCTGATTTGACGCCAACTCTCATGTGTTAACATTATTGTTACGCTTAATGACAGGACACGCATATAATACTTCCCCGAAAACATCACAGAATACACCACATCTCCCCTCACGAGACCTACTTCTGCATCACCACAGGTTGGCTCAACTTTCCATTAGAAAAGATACACTTCTGGTCGACACTCGAACTGATGGTCGAATCAATCACTGGATGCAAACCACGAGCCGATGATCTCAAGTGGGCTCAAAAGGGGTTGGGATTTGTCACTCAACCCAATGCTCGCAATCTTATAGAACAAGTCATTCCTTCTCATTGAAGTACATTAGAGGACCACTTATTTATTTATTCATTGTTTGATAGACTTTTAAGTCAATTGTTACACACAATCAACCATTCGTTAGACACTAAACGAGTGGTTATACGCTATATTTGAGTCACTTTTTAGTCATATTTATTATGAATTTAGCAAAAATATATATTTATAAATAGGAATTTCTATTCTTTTCTTTAATATTTAAATCACAAGTTTTGCATTAATTAAGTGCTGATTACTATTTAAAGGGTCGTTAAATGAAAGTCACTTTTATATATCAATTATCTTTGACCACAACTCCAACTACTATTATATGAGCTCTAAATCCTATCCAATTTTATTAATTTTAATTTATATTTTATTGTTTATATTATTTATTTTATGGTTTTATTATATATGAAATGAAATTTTAATTTCTTATAAATTAATTCTGTTAATCATGTTATTACTACTTATCTCAGGTTTTGAAAATATTTTCAAATTAAATTAAAATGATTACTTTTGGTAGATTTAGTGCTCATACAGTTGTGATTGATACTGATTGATATCTTAAATCACTATATAATATAATTTTATAATATTCAATATCTGATATTTGAATATCACTTCTGCCATTAATTTGTGCCTCATTTCAGATGACTTATCTATAAATCGTAATTTAAATTGTGGACATTAATGCAATATTAATGCAACAAATGTAACAATTAAGGCATATTTATCTAAAAAAATTGAAACATAATTGACTTGTTTTGATGTTTTTCAAGTCTCTCATCTATTTATAAATTGTTAACAAATTAAGAAGTTTATAGAAAAATGATATGTTGAACTCACTGTCCAATTGATCTGATAATTAGAATCAATTATCAGATGAAATACTATTAATTCTATATATAATTAGAGATCTGTTATAAAATATAAGAAATGAAATCCTATTTATTATAATTAAGAGAATAATTGGCAAATAACTGATTATATTTGAAATATTTGTGAACTATTTTATGAATTAATTGAATTGAATTTAAACTTAAAGTTTACAAAACTACTGGCAATCAATCAAAAGGAACTTTGAATTTAGTTTTTGCTAAATAAGCTTTTGCTTCAACTTTAAATGCATACTTCAAGCGCTCAATTAGTGTTACATTAATTTACATAAGAAATACATTTAACATAATTTTATTATTAAATTAAAAGTAAAATTATAAATATTAATAATTTTAGTAACAAAACCGATATTAAGAAATACAATTCTAGTCAACTGTAATTGTCTAATGATTCTCATAATGAGTACAATTCCTACCGTATTATCGATTCTGTGAATTAATCGTCCAAAAAATATTTAAACTAATTATTTCGAGTAACTGACAGTCAATTGGTGTAGATTTGCTTAATTAACAATCTTTTGAGCTTAAAATTATTGCCTTTTCGTGAAAACGCATAAATTTTTAATACTTAATAAAT